CAGCTGATTGGGCCAAACTAAATATAGACCTCTGCTGGAGAGTTATGGCCAATATCTGATACGATAAAAAGTCAGTCAGATATCTCTCACCATTATATTTTATTATTACCATCGAGCAGGTTGCCAAAGTGCATGACCTGGAGGAACTCTCTCTCTCTCATGAAGCCTTTGAGTGGACTGGCCCAGCCCTCAGCCAGCACCTGCACCCACTGGCGGTCCAGCTGTGGGACAGAGGGGAACAGGTTTGACATGCGCTTTACATAAATGTCTCATGTAACGCTATTTTCTGATATGTTATAATGCTCCACTGTGCTTTTAAACGCCATACACGTTCACTAGAATCGTTTGGAATTGCCAATCTCTACGGAACCATGCTGTGCCGTTAACTTAGAACCTACCTCTACATGACATCATAAGGTGGAACAGAGCATTTTGAGACAATGTAATAATAAAGGATTACTCAAACCTATGTGAAAGAAACATTACAGAGCTCAAGGTATATTTTGAGAAGCTAACTGCATTATACCATGGATTAAAGCTCACAAGAGTCAGTAGGACCTTTAAACAAATTGACATAATGATTTTGAGCATTAGAAGAGTAGGAAAGTAATAAATATAACATATGTTTTTTGGGGTTTTTTTTGTTTTTCTTTTTTAATGTACTTTATATATGTATCAATGTAGTGAAAGTGTCATCAGTGGTCATTTGTGTTTAAAAGCACTTTTCACAACTTTCAGAGACCAGACCTTTTAAAATATAAACTGCAATAAATCAGAGTTATAGATATATAAGGATAGGATATATAGAACAGACATGGGATACAGATACAGATGCAGACCATCTCAAAAAGTTAGAATATCATGAATAACATGTTTGAGATGGTCTGTATAAAATGGTGTAATCCTTGTAGAAATGACTCAATGTAGAAAAAATTTCAACTGTGGCCATCTGGACTTCTTTTTTTTTTTATCACAATGTTTGGGCTCCCATCCAAAAGCCATTTCTGGTACTAGCTTGAAGCACTGGGAATTATACTACTGTACTCTGAGTAACTGTCCAGGCCCGAAGGGAGGTGTGAAACTGGCCTGCCCTTGTTATTAGCTAACATCATTATGGGTGGTTATGTCTTTTGTAAACAGTTAGTAGTTTAAAACCCAAGACATTCTTTTTCTTCACAAAAATAGCAACTAAAAAGTTATCTAGTGCACTTTGACCTAATGAACTAAATCTCACTTTATTGGCATATACTCGAGCTGGCAAAAATCATAATATAAAATTTCAGTTTCTGTCAGTTGAGCTGATAGTCTTGCTTTTAACAATGTTGGTATAATGTAATAAAATATAACATTATGTTTAAATATCATATTACACTTTTTGGCTGATTTGTTATAATGTTGTTTCTTCATCAAAAACAGACCTGGAGTTGTGTTTTGTTTCATTCACATATTCACAACATACAAATCCTGCATATTTAGGCTCAGTTGTTCTCTCAAACACATGTCATGCAATAATACAGGAAGTGTTCCACTGTGTTTTTAAACTCCATACACCTTCAGTAGAATCATTTGGACAATTTCAACCCTAGAATTTCCAATTTCCACTGAACTAAACTACCGCTTCATGACATCACAAGGTGGAACGGAGCAGAGCGATTTTGAGTTTTGGAGATGTAGCCTGACTAATAATAAAGAATTGCTCACACGTGTGAATGAAACGAAACACAACTCCAGGTATGTTTGGATAAAAAATGAACTTTCTTACATGGCTTAAAACATATGTGAGTCAATTTTGTATTGTATTGTAAAATTATGCTATATTATTATTTTCATGTATAGCCTTTTTTCATGGCCTGTTATTCTTGGTGTGTATATAAGTAATGTGTGCAGTGATTTCCATTTGTTGAAAAAGCAAGTTACCTTATTGATGCTGATTTTGGGAAGGGTTTTAGCATCGGCCAAAACCAGATTCAGTTTATTTTCTGGTACAAGAGTTCTGTGACCTCCTCCAGGATTTCACTGGGTACAATATTCTACACAAAAGAGAACACATCATATTACATAAGGAAAGGAAACCGAAAAAAACAAAAAAACATGTAGACAGCAGATTAATAAATAATGTTGTACTGTAACTCTGAATCACCAAAGCTGAATTGACAAAAATGTGTGTTAAAGTGTTATAGGAGAGGTTATTTCTTCACTAAGAAAGTTTCACAGGGGTGTGCAAAAATATAAAAATATCAATATATCATATCGCTTAATATGCTGATACAGTATCAATATCGTGAGCTGCTGTATCGATATATCACCAAGAGTATGTTTTGATATATTTTACTACATTATTTTGTTACAGGGCTACGGTTTCATTGTTTCACTGTGTTATATAAGTTTAATATTGTGGAACAGTACAGGCAAAGCAATAGCATCTCCATGGTGGCTGAACACACCCTGAAAGGTTATTCAGTGCACCTTTAAAAAATACAGTGTATCCAAGTCCAAGCCTCAAACACTTTATTGATCCACAAGGGAAATTATTTGGAGACAGTAGCTCTCTCATCACAATATAATGTAATAACAAAGAGAAAAAAAATATGAATAGTAATAATAAATTCTAAATAAGCAGGAAAAATATCAAGAGACTGGTGTCAAATGAGGCATAATTACTGTATATAGATGTATATAAACAAGTAAAAGTAAAATGCAATAGAAATAAGTGATAAAAATATCTCAGTAATATACAATAGCTAGTCTAGTAGTAAGTCTAGTCTAGTCTAGTTTTACTAGTCTAGTAAAAATTTAAGGTGTGATGTGTCATCTATTGTTATGAAAAAGTCAAGACCTCACTCCAAGAAAGTTGATTTTGGCCCTGTGCCTTTACTAATATAGGTGAGAAGTAATAATAATTTCAAAGAGTACTTCGCGTGCATTTTTTACCACACAGTGTAATACAATAACTCAAACACATTTACCCTGAAGCCTTTAACATCAACCAGTGCCCTTAATTTCTCTGGCAGCCATTCACTTTTGTCAAGCAGTATTTGCCACTTACATAGACAACTGTACTAGCTCATGAAATCGTCACGTTGAGGCTAGCTGGCAAAGGGTGTGGTTTGTGGATCTTAGTGGATTATATCCTCACCTGCTCTCGTAACATGTCAAGTAGTTGTTGGAGGCATTCATTCACTGTCAGCTCTCCAGTTTTAAGAACCAGTTCTGGAGATTCTGGCCTCTCGTAGTCAGAGTCAATGCCAGTAAATCCTGTTAAATATTACACAGTAGAAAATACTTCATTTTTAAAGATAAATTGTAACAAATCTGTGCATGGTAAAAATATTTAAAGGTCCCATATTACATAAAACTGACTCTTGTTAGCTTGAAGTCATGTTATAATGTTGTTACCTCCTCAAAAACATACCTGGAGTCGTGCTTTGTTTCATTCAGACATGTTTGGTTAACCCTTTATTAGCTCAAAATGCTCTGTTTCACCTTGTGATGTCATCTAGTGGTAGTTTTCAACTTCATTCAGTGATAGGCAATTTCAGGGCTGAAATTATCCAAAAGGCTCTACTGAATGTGTATAAAATTAAAAACACAGTGGAGCACTTCCTGTATTACCTCATGACATCACAAGGTGGAACTGTGCGTGTTCTGTTAGAGACACTCTAAATACGCAAGGTTTGTGTGTTAATGTGTGAATTGAACAACACAAAAAACACGACTCTAGGAATAATTGTGATGAGGAACCAACATTATAACTAGGGGTGTCAAATTATCGTGTTAATTGCGATTAATTAATTACAGTCATATTTAGCGCGTTATGTTTTTTAATCGCGTTAATCTCATTTTTAATCTCTAATTTTAGTGTTTCTGTATGTGTTTCTTTATTATAAAACCTGTTTTTATGTGTTGTTGGGACAACAACACACACACACACAAAACACATTTATGCATTTTTTTATTTCGGTAATTCCACTCATTGCCGGAAACCCACACAAAACGCGCGCAGTAACAGCGATGTAAACGTCATGTTAACGTTGGCGGCGTCAGTCACACAATGGACGAGG